ATAGAGTGTAGTACTCTACCAACAAAAATCCTTGCGCACCCACTTTATTCTTAGATAATCTGTTAAATCTGATTTTTTTGGTTCGACGAACGGGGCTTGCGTTTTTCTAGTCAGGCATTTATAGATTCTTCTAGTTTTGTTTGAACTAAGGCATGAGAAACATGGGCAGATATTTGCTAATTTGACTCATAACCTTAAATGGCCCATGTGAGGCATGGACAGTGCCAACACGACTCGTAACCTCATATGTTGTGTCGTGTTCTCATGTGATTCGTGATTACTGTGTGTGGTCGGAGATGAGACCGACGGAGTACAAGGTTGACATGTGGGGCTTCTTGTGCTCAACAACACTCCCAACTCGAACTCGCCTATATAAATTGAAGCATTGTGCTCAACAACACTCACACTCATTCCATCACTAAACTCGTACAAATTCGTTATCTCACCAATCTTCTCAACTTCTACTCATTCGTCATGGAGTACAAAACAGAACAAGTCCAGTTCCAGCCTAGCCAAGCGGATTCGCCGCAAGTCGGAGACAAGTTGCATCAAAGAAGATCGGCCAATTATAGGCCTAACCTTTGGAAATACGATTTCCTCCAGTCGCTTAACAACAACAACGACCTCGTAAGATTCTAATTTGTACCTCCCGTGCTCATAAGTTCCATCAAATTTGATCATTAATTATCGAACCGGTTGGTTTTTTGGTTGTACTCCTTTATTCAAGTATTGCACATGAGACACAGGTTGATTTTATTTATTTTTTTAATTCGAGCAAGGTAGTATTTTGCTAAATTGATTTGTAACATCACATGCATGATCTTAATATGTGTGGTTATCATATATATCAGCCATCATCTAGACTTGATTTATAGCTAACATGAATGTAAAAAACCAATTCATCTAGCTATATACATTTGCATGTACTAAATTTTTCTGAAAAATTAGCTTGCTCACGGTTGAGTCCTCTAGGGATTGAAATGGAACCAACCATTTCAGACTCACTATACAACAAAGTCAATCGCGATAATAAAAAAATCAATCATGTTATTAGAAACATCACGAGTCCACATTATTTTGGTTGGTACTTCTTAAAATATGATTAAACTGGTCAATTAGAATGAGTCTAGATAAAACCTTATTAGAAGCAATCAAGACTTTGCAATATATTTTACCATATATTCGTAAAGGATAAAGTAGTATAATCACAACATCTTGGCATTGCTCTATAGGTTGAATTAATTGAGGCCTTTTCGAGGTAGATTTCGATCTTACGAATTCGACCCGATTCTGTAGAAAGAAGGAACTAAAGAACGGGTAGAACGGCTCGTGGAGGAAGTAAAGCCAATGTTATCAGAAGCAGTCGATTCACTCCTCAAGTTAGAGTTGATTGACAGCATGAGAAAATTGGGGCTGTCCAACCTTTTTGTCACTGAAATAAAAGAAGCTCTTGAAACCGTTGCATCCACCAACGGTGGCGTTTTCAACGTGGAAGATCGGCTCTATGCCAGTGCACTTCGGTTTAGACTCCTCAGACAGCATGGCATGTCGTTTCACAAGGTAAGTCGTAAATATGGATGTGTGTGATTTCCTTCGTCTGAGATGTTACTAACAAATGACAGAACAAGCCAAATAAATCAACGAATAATGCTATAGGTACTGAAGATTACTCCACAAAAGTTGGTTCCTTCCATAGCAGTCATACCTATTGGGACTTAGCTCTACTGAAAAACCTTCTTGTTTCTAGAGAGAGGATCACTAAAGGAAAGTGTAATTGTGGACTAGACGGTGAAGAAGGTTTCGTCCACAGAGAGGTTTTATCGAATTGAATGCATACAATCCGCTCAAAGTTCATATGCCATTATTCACTGTTTTCCAATAACATCTTCTTAGTCATCGGTCGTCGTACTTTCTAATATTTATTAACATCGAGTATAATTAGTACTATCAGCAATTATTCTTGGTTCTGTCCGGCCGTAAATCTTCGACTTTCATTTTGTAATCAGATGAATTAAGGATGTTCAAGGAAGGAAGGAACACATTGAACGGAAGCAACTGCAAAGATGTTGAAGATATGATAGAGCTTCTTGAGGCTTCACATCTGGCTTTGGAAGGCGAAAACATTTTGGATGAAGCGAAAGCCTTCTCAACTGGGATTGTCCGAGAGAGAGTCTCCGGTTTGGATGGTCAGCTCTTGAAACGTGCCGTGCATGCTTTGGAGCTTCCGATGCACTGGAGGGTCCAGTGGTTCGACATCAAATGGCAAATTGGCTTGTATGAGCAACAGGAGGACAAGCAAAGTAGTCTGCATGAACTTGCAAAACTCAATTTCAACACGGTCCAAGCCACACACGAAAGAGACCTTAGAGATATATCCAGGTAATTTCATCACGCTCAAACTAGTGATGATATTTCAACCAAAAAAAAAACTACTAATGATGTATATGGTCTAAATTCATCCTAGGAAATTGCCTTCTTTGAAGCTATGTGTATCGGACATGATGTGATTTTCATAGCTTTGGATTTTGATTAGTTGCTTCGGTAAATTCAGGTGGTGGAGGGATCTGGGACTTATTGAACATGTTAACTTCGCGAGGGATCGGCTGGTCGAAAGTTTCTTGTGCGCCCTTGGACTCTCTCAGGGATCACGGCTCAGCTCTCTCCGAAAATCTCTTACCAAGGTCATCATGTTGATACTGGTGATCGACGATATCTAGGACCTATATGGTTCGTTGGAGGAGCTAGAATGCTTCACCGGTGCCATTACGAGGTTGGCCACCATGCCTCCCAATTTCTACCTTTCGTGTTTGTTCAGCTCATTTTCTCTAATTGGAAAGTCCAATGCTTCTAGATGGGATTCAGAGCAGATTCAACAGCTTCCCGATTGCATGAAGGTCTATTTCCGAGCGCTTCGCGATGTTACATACGACATCGCTTATGATATTGGCAAGGATGAAGATTGGCATCGAGTGCTACCACATCTCATGAAAGCTGTAAGAAAAAACTGTTGGATAACTGGATATCCATGCATATGTCACCCTAACTATTTTATGTCCTGCATAATTAATCATCTACGATTAAATCTTCTTTTTTCCTTATTTTTCCATAGTGGGAAGATTTTTGCAAAGCGTTACTTAATGAAGCAAAGTGGGACACTATGGGCTACACTCCATCTTTGGAAGAGTACTTAAACAATGCATGGACATCATCTTCTGGACCACTGATCTTGTCTCATGCTTGTTACTTCACGGGACATATGAAATTGGACGATGCAGCAGATTTGCTACAGAGAAACAAGGATCTGATTTACAATGTGTCCATGATAATTCGACTTTGCAACGACCTAGGAACATCAACGGTAATTATCAAACTTCTGTGGAAATGTTATAAACCAATTGAATATGACATGATGGACAAATTCTTAGCTTTTGTACTTACACGACGTAAGGAGTAACTAAATTTAGGAAATTGAATCTGATTAACGAGTTAACTGATTTATCTATTTGATTAGGCTGAAAGAGACAGAGGAGATGCTCCATCCTCAGTGGTGTGTTACATGCGAGAAGCAAATGTATCAGAGGACGTTGCTCGTAAGCACATCAAGGTATTGATAAACCAAGCATGGAAAAGAATTAATGCTCGTTGCTTCGGCAATGCCGAGACGCCATTTCTCCGACCCTTCATCATTGTCACCGTGAACGCTGCTCGTGTTGCGCATATGCTTTACCAGTTTGGAGATGGGTTCGGCGTCCAGGACGGCGACATTCGGCAGCAAATTCTATGTATTGTGATCAAGCCTCTCGCTCTCGACTGAGATATTAGCGCAAGTCTAATCACATAGCGGGATTGTAAGCTAGACTAGCTGCTGCAGGTCCAAAGATTGAGGGCTATAGGCAAATTGTATCCTAGGCAAAGCAATAATTACGTTTGTGTTTCACCCGGAATATCGGCCAAATACCTTAAAAAAAAATAAGCAGCCTCAGAATCAAATGCCAGTGCATTCACGGGCGGCATTAGAAACGGCAAAAAGGTTAAATTGTGTCAAACTATTTGACCTTCAAAACCGTAAAGCACTCCTTGGTCTGAAATTTTGATTCTGGGTTCTTGACTAGAAAGTTTGTCATCAGGTCTCAGTTGTTGGAAGATGCTTTATCAACTCAGTAGATTTGGATTTGATGTTGTATTGACATATTGGCGCAGTCAAAACTATAGAGTCAAGCTGCGATTGATTTACGGAGTCAAGTTTGATTGAAATAAATGTATATCAAATCAACCTCCGCAAAGCTCGAATTGATTTGAAAGAATCCAACATATTCAACTTAAAATCAGATGATAGACCATGATGACTTGATTGAACTTAGGTCATATATGCAATTTCCTCTTTCTCAGAAATGAAAATTTATGAATGTGTTTTGAGGGCTTTGTCCCTAACTTATGGCTTCTAGCACGAAATCGAAATCGAAATCCAGAGCACAAAAACCTAAAGTGGCTGCACTTCCCTTCATGTTTACAATGCACGTCTTTTGTTCGGAATTTAAGTCTGATAGCTAAAGTCAACACTATCGCAAACACGTGATACTGTAAATACTCGTAATAGGGTTAACTGTTGCAAACCATTGTAACGATTTGATAAACAAGTATTTTGAAGGTGGATGAGACCAGAAGCCACCTCAAGTAAGAGAGATCATGCATTCCTATAAATAAAACACACACACACACACACACATTACCTTGCTTCTTGTTCCCTCCATTGTCTATTATATGTTATAACCCACAATTGTCAGAAAGGTATTTTGACCAAGCATAGAAATCAGATTCTCTGGCCTCTTTCTCAGTTCGCACTGACCGTCCCATATCGAGTACTTAGTCCAACTCTTCACTTAATTCCCTCGTGGGAAGGATCCCAAACGTTCTAGCTTTTCATATGCAGAAATTTTTTCATGAATCGGTAAAGTTTTGTCTCTAGATGGGTTTTAAATTTAGAGTCTTCTTCTCCAGCAATGGAAATGTGCTGCATTCTTGAAGTAGATGTCAAAGGCCTGAAGACTTTCCTGGTGGACAAGGTAATTACTTGCTCTGCTTTCTCTCTCAATTTTCAGTTCATCACCTTTCTGTCTTTACCACCTGCTTCAGTTCAAATTCTTGTGATGGTGCGTCTTGTTATAGTTTTTTACTATTGGTAATTGGCTTTGGATTTCTTGAACTGTGAAATCACTCAGCTGATGAAATGGACTTCTACTTAATCGATGAATTTCTGTTTCTTGAAAAAGAGAATGTCTCTCCTCAATTGAGAAACCTGTCGTACTTTTTGAAGATTTTCAGGTAATCCCTGTAATGTTTTTGAAGATTAAAACCATCCTGAATTGACTATAGCATTTTTCTTTCCTTTCGTTTCCCCGTTTGTTAACCCTCTCTCTGTTTTCTGTTTCTTGTGCATAATATTATGGCATCGTTTTCAAGTAGGCTTAACAGTTTGTTACGTAAAAAATCAGGAGTAGTAAATGGGAAGCTGAAAGTGATCTTTCATGATTTTCCATGAGGCTCGGAGGGTTTTGAGCTCATGTCAAGATTTTGCCAAAAGGGGCAGACTAATACTACCACCAAAAGGGGCGTCTCCAAAGACTATCCAACCCCTAACTTCTAACTAACCCCTATTCGCCCTAGAGGGGGGGTTCACTCAGAATCAGTCTCGTCGATGCCAGTCTGTTCCTCTCAAGACTTGGATTCAGTATTGATCTCAATCGGATTGTCCTTGTCTCCCGACTCCGCTGGAACTTCGATCAGCTAAATGGTTTTAAATAAAACCGTGAGAACACTTCTCAGCAAGCGAAACCCTAAACCCCACCTAGGCTAACACGTACCTCCAGACAAGACCAAACATGAGATCACCCAATAAACACATCATGCATCCAATTGTACTTACATGGGCTTTTGATCCGCGCAATCTGCAGGTTAGTCTCAACTATATAATTTCCAATCACATGCACATTTCAAATTAATTTCATGCCCGATAGACAAGTCGAACACATGGCATTTCCAATCCCACATTCCAACACTCGTTCCTGCCTCATCACACTATTTTCACTCAACTCGCCAGTGACCTGCGTAATAGTACCGCCTCAGGTTCACTGCGACCAACTCATATTCACAACAAACCTTAGCCCGCGTAATGGTACCGCCTCAGGCTATGTATCTTGCCCGCGTAATGGTACCGCCTCAGGCTCAACATCCACCACCTACTGCACAACCCGCGTTGAAGTACATGCCTCAGGTTGGCAGTCTTCCGGTAGTACCGGGCATCGTCCCGCGTAGTAGTACAACCTCAAGACGGCTCAATTCCCCTCGTAATAGTACCGCCTCAGGGATTTTGGTGACCGCTCATACAACATCACACACAATTTATCATTTATTCGCTCGCTCGATTTACACTCCAGCATGCCAATATACCAGCCGATCAAATTCGGCCCATGCACGCATCAAACCTCATGCATATCACATGCTCAATTAACACCCAATCTTGGTCAATTGCCAGTCAATTCAATTCAGTCCATGCGCGCATATAACGGTCCACATTTCAATCAATCAATTCACAATTCAACAAGCATACAAGGCCGCCATTGGGCTCACAATCACAGCCACTAACATGGGCATAAATTCAACATTTTCATGTGTATTTCAAGCCATAATAGCCACACAAACCAGCCAACCCAATTCAATTCGCACGTGCATAATTAACCCGAATTTCTGCATTTTAGGCGAAATTCCGCCATTCACGGGTGTCGTAATCCTACCGACAACCCCCAAACCAACACGCACTATATTTTAATCACCAAAATGCACTAATTCAGCCACAGCATGAACAGTAACTCGGCCACCATGGAAAATCACTATAACGGCGCATTTAGGCCCGTTTTTCGCGCAATAAGCCACAATAATCACTCGGAATCATTCCGATTACCTAACCAATCAATTCTAACCTCAAATCCACCTCAAAAATCATCACAATTTCTCCCAAAACACTCAGCCAAATCAGTCCAACCGTTGTCCCACGATTAACCCCTAAAACTCACTAAAACGGCCCCGAACTAACCCGAAAATACCGGTTATCCTAAGCGAGGGTTAGGATATCACTTACTTGTGATTCATACGTGAAATTGAGGCCTCAACAGCGGCTGGACAGGGAGCGAACAGCAGCGGCAGCGGCAACAAGCGGTGAGGGTTATCGGCGACTCGCCGGCGACGATTGGCTGCTTAATCGATGAATTTCTGTTTCTTGAAAAAGAGAATGTCTCTCCTAAATTGAGAAGCCTGTTGTACTTTTTGAAGATTTTCAGGTAATCCCTGTAATGGTTTTGAAGATTAAAACCATCCTGAATTGACTATAGCATTTTTCTTTCCTTTCGTTTCCCCGTTTGTTAACCCTCTCTTTGTTTTCTGTTTCTTGTGCAGAATATTATGGCATCGTTTTCAAGTAGGCTTAACAGATTGTTTGGTCAAAAATCAGGAGTAGTAAATGGGAAGCTGAAAGTGATCTTTCATGATTTTCCATGAGGCTCGGAGGGTTTTGAGCTCATGTCAAGATTTTGCCAAAAGGGGCAGACTAATAGTACCACCAAAAGGGGCGTCTCCAAAGACTGTCCAACCCCTAACTTCTAACTAACCCCTATTCGCCCTAGAAGGGGGGTTCACTCAGAATCAGTCTCGTCGATGCCAGTCTGTTCCTCTCAAGACTTGGATTCAGTATTGATCTCAATCGGATTGTCCTTGTCTCCCGACTCCGCTGGAACTTTGATCAGCTAAATGATTTTAAATAAAACCGTGAGAACAATTCCTCAGCTCGCGAAACCCTAAACCCCACCTAGGCTAACACTTATCTCCAGACAAGACCAAACATGAGATCACCCAATAAACACATCATGCATCCAATTGTACTTACATGGGCTTTTGATCCGCGCAATCTGCAGGTTAGTCTCAACTATATAATTTCCAATCACATGCACATTTCAAATTAATTTCATGCCCGATACACAAGTCGAACACATGGCATTTCCAATCCCACATTCCAACACTCGATCCTGCCTCATCACACTATTTTCACTCAACTCGCCAGTGACCTGCGTAATAGTACCGCCTCAGGTTCACTGCGACCAACTCATATTCACAACACTCCTTAGCCCGCGTAATGGTACCGCCTCAGGCTATGTATCTTGCCCGCGTAATGGTACCGCCTCAGGCTCAACATCCACCACCTACTGCACAACCCGCATTGAAGTACACGCCTCAGGTTGGCAGTCTTTCGGTAGTACCGGGCATCGTCCCGCGTAGTAGTACAGCCACAAGACGACTCAATTCCCCACGTAATAGTACCGCCTCAGGGATTTTCGTGACCACTCATACAACATCACACACAATTTATCATTTATTCGGTCGCTCGATTTACACGCCAGCATGCCAATATACCAGCCGATCAAATTCGGCCCATGCACGCATCAAATCTCATGCATTTCACATGCTCAATTAATACCCAATCATGGCCAATTGCCAGTCAATTCAATTCAGTCGATGCGCGCATATAACGGTCCACATTTCAATCAATCAATTCACAATTCAACAAGCATACAAGACCGCTATTGGGCTCACAATCACAGCCACTAACATGGGAATAAATTCAACATTTTCATGTGTATTTCAAGCCATAATAGCCACACAAACCAGCCAGCCCAATTCAATTCGCACGTGCACGATTAACCCGAATTTCTGCATTTTAGGCGAAATTCCGCCATTCACGGGTGTCGTACTCCTACCGACAACCCCCAAACCAACACGCACTATATTTTAATCACCAAAATGCACTAATTCGGCCACAGCATGAACAGTAACTCGGCCACCATGGAAAATCACTATAAGTGGCTGCACTTCACTTCATGTTTACAATGCACGTCTTTTGTTCGGAATTTAAGTCTGATAGCTAAAGTCAACACTATCGCAAAAACGTGATACTATAAATACTCGTAATGTGGTTAACTGTTGCAAACCATTGTAACGGTTTGATAAACAGGTATTTTGAGGGTGGATGAGACCAGAAGCCACCTCAAGTAAGAGAGATCATGCATTCCTATAAATAAAACACACACACACACACACACATTACCTTGCTTCTTGTTCCCTCCATTGTTTATTATATGTTATAACCCACAATTGTCAGAAAGGTATTTTGACCAAGCACAGAAATGAGATTCTCTGGCCTCTTTCTCAGTTCGCACTGACCGTCCCATATCGAGTACTTAGTCCAACCCTTCACTTAATTCCCTCGTGGGAAAGATCCCAAAAGTTCTAGCTTTTTCATATGCATAACTTTTTTCATGAATCGGTAAAGTTTTGTCTCTAGATGGGTTTTAAATTTACAATCTTCTTCTCCAGCAATGGAAATGTGCTGCATTCTTGAAGTAGATGTCAATGGCCTTGAGACTTTCCTTGTGGACAAGGTAATTACTTCCTCTGCTTTCTCTCTCAATTTTCAGTTCATCACCTTTCTGTCTTTATCACCTGCTTCAATTCAAATTCTTGTGATGGTGCTTCTTGTTATAGTTTTTTACTATTGGTAATTGGCTTTGGCTTTCTTGAACTGTGAAATCACTCAGCTGATGAAATGGACTTCTACTTAATCGATGAATTTCTATTTCTTGAAAAAGAGAATGTCTCTCCTAAATTGAGAAGCCTGTCGTACTTTTTGAAGATTTTCAGGTAATCCCTGTAATGGTTTAGAAGATTAAAACCATCCTGAATTGACTATAGCATTTTTCTTTCCTTTCGTTTCCCCGTTTGTTAACCCTCTCTCTCGTTTTCGTTTCTTGTGCAGAATATTATGGCATCGTTTTCAAGTAGGCTTAACAGTTGTTTGGTCAAAAATCGGGAGTAGTAAATGGGAAGCGAAAGTGATCTTTCATGATTTTCCATGAGGCTCGGAGGGTTTTGAGCTCATGTCAAGATTTTGCCAAAAGGGGCAGACTAATACTACCACCAAAAGGGGCGTCTCCAAAGACTGTCCAACCCCTAACTTATTCGCCTTAGAGGGTTCACTCAGAATCAATCTCGTCGATGTCAGTCTGTTCCTCTGAAGACTTGGATTCAGCATTGATCTCAATCGGATTGTCCTTGTCTCCCGACTCCGGTGGAACTTCGATCAGCTAAATGGTTTTAAATAAAACCGTGAGAACACTTCTCAGCAAGCGAAACCCTAAACCCCACCTAGGCTAACACGTACCTCCAGACAAGACCAAACATGAGATCACCCAATAAACACATCATGCACCCAATTGTACTTACATGGGCTTTTGATCCGCGCAATCTGCAGGTTAGTCTCAACTATATAATTTCCAATCACATGCACATTTCAAATTAATTTCATGCCCGATACACAAGTCGAACACATGGCATTTCCAATCCCACATTCCAACACTCGATCCTGCCTTATCACACTATTTTCACTCAACTCGCCAGTGACCTGTGTAATAGTACCGCCTCAGGTTCACTGCGACAAACTCATATTTACAACACTCCTTAGCCCGCGTAATGGTACTGCCTCAGGCTATGTATCTTGCCCGCGTAATGGTACCGCCTCAGGCTATGTATCTTGCCCGCGTAATGGTACCGCCTCAGGCTATGTATCTTGCCCGCATAATGATACCGCCTCAGGCTCAACATCCACCACCTACTGCACAACCCGCGTTGAAGTACACGCCTCAGGTTGGCAGTCTTCCGGTAGTACCGGGCATCGTCCCGCATAGTAGTACAGCCTCAAGACGGCTCAATTCCCCGCGTAATAGTACCGCCTCGGGGATTTTCGTGACCACTCATACAACATCACACATAATTTCTCATTTATTCGCTCGCTCGATTTGCACGCCAGCATGCCAATATACCAGCCGATCAAATTCGGTCCATGCACGCATCAAACCTCATGCATTTCACATGCTCAATTAACACCCAATCATGGCTAATTGCCAGTAAATTCAATTCAGTCCATGCGCGCATATAACGGTCCACATTTCAATCAATCAATTCACAATTCAACAAGCATACAGGGCCGCCATTGGGCTCACAATCACAGCCACTAACATGGGCATAAATTTAATATTTTCATGTGTATTTCAAGCCATAATAGCCACACAAACCAACCAACCCAATTCAATTCGCACGTGCACAATTAACCTGAATTTCTGCATTTTAGGCGAAATTCTGCCATTCACGGGTATCGTACTCCTACCGACAACCCCCAAACCAACACGCACTATGTTTTAATCACCAAAATGCACTAATTCGGCCACAGCATGAATAGTAACTCGGCCACCATGGAAAATCACTACAACGGCGCATTTAGGCCCGTTTTACGCGCAATAAGCCACAATAATCACTCGGAATCATTCCGATTACCTAACCAATCAATTCTAACCTCAAATCCACCTCAAAAATCATCACAATTTCTCCCAAAACACTCAACCAAATCAGTCCGACCGTTGTCCCACGATTAACCCCTAAAACTCACTAAAACGGCCCCGAACTAACCCGAAAATACCTGTTATCCTAGGCGAGGGTTAGGATATCACTTACTTGTGATTCATACGCGAAATTGAGGCCTCAACAGCGGCTGGACAGGGAGCGAACAGCAGCAGCAGCGGCAACAAGCGGTGAGGTTTACCGGCGACTCGCCGGCGGTCACGAGCGGCGGCGATTGGCAGTGGTGGTGGTGATGGTGAGCGGCCACGGCGGCGGCGGTGGCTCCGGCTCGGCGGGGAAGCGGCGGCGAAGGGGGTGGCTGGCTGGCCACTTCACTGTGGGAGGGGGAGGAAGGCTTGGCCGAGGGAGGGGTGAGATAGAGATTGACGTGAGTGAGAGAGAGAATGAGGGAGAGAGAGAGAAATTGAGAGATATTTACTAAAGAGGCAATAATTGGTGTCTAATCTCCAAGCAAAATGACCATCATACCCCTCTCTCTATATTCCAAATCAACGGCCACGATTCGATCTTATCCTAAGATCGACGGTCCAGATTAATCCTCGCCAAAAATATCCATGGGCAAAATTGAAATTTCACAATATTTTCAAGGGCAAAATTGTCCAAAATTTTTTATTTCTAAAGTAGGTGTGAAATGACCAAAATGCCCCTCTCCCATTATACTTGGCCTTAACAAAATCCCAGGGGTAAAACGGTCATTTTCCATTTCTCGTCGAAATTCGAATTTTCTGAAGAATCCGGACAAATCTGAGGCTAACCGAGCTAATGACAACATCATCCGATTATCCTGTCATGACCTTCACAATTTCCGATGCCCAAACTTGGTTTCTAAATAATGATCAAATTTAATTTACGTAACTTGAGCGTATCTCGAACTAACGGGTGGCTTTTGGGGAAATTCGCACATTTGACCCGTGGCCGATACTGAATCATGTCACGTTTAAGTTTACTCAGGTCGTGACGACCTCGGTGGTCACTTAATTGTGAGGATCAATCGATAGTTCCAACGGCACGATCGATTGGTATAGGTTTGGGGTCATTCATCAATTCATCCCGTGGCTTTGGAAGGCGAAAACATTTTGGATGAAGCGAAAGCCTTCTCAACTGGGATTGTCCGAGAGAGAGTCTCCGGTTTGGATGGTCAGCTCTTGAAACGTGCCGTCCATGCTTTGGAGCTTCCGATGCACTGGAGGGTCCAGTGGTTCGACATCAAATGGCAAATTGGTTTGTATGAGCAACAGGAGGACAAGCAAAGTAATCTGCTTGAGCTTGCAAAACTCAATTTCAACACGGTCCAAGCCACACACCAAAGAGACCTTAGAGAAATATCCAGGTAATTTCATCACGCTCAAACTACTGATGATATTTCAACCAAAAAAAAAACTACTCATGATGTATATGGTCTAAATTCATCCTAGGAAATTGCCTTCTTTGAACCTATGTGTACCGGACATGATGTGATTTTCATAGCTTTGGATTTTGATTAGTTGCTTCGGTAAATTCGGGTGGTGGAGGGATCGGGGACTTATCGAACATGTTAACTTCACGAGGGATCGGCTGGTCGAAAGTTTCTTGTGCGCCCTTGGACTCTCTCAGGGATCACGATTCAGCTCTCTCCGAAAATCTCTTACCAAGGTCATCATCTTGATACTGGTGATCGACGATATCTACGACCTATATGGTTCGTTGGAGGAGCTGGAATGCTTCACCGGTGCCATTACGAGGTTGGCCACCATGCCTCCCAATCTCTACCTTTCGTGTTTGTTCAGCTCATTTTCTCTAATTGGAAAGTCCAATGCTTCTAGATGGGATTCAGAGCAGATTTAACAGCTTCCCGATTGCATGAAGGTCTGTTTCCGAGCGCTTCGCGATGTTACATACGACATCGCTTATGATATTGGCAAGGATGAAGATTGGCATCGAGTGCTACCACATCTCACGAAAGCTGTAAGAAAAAAATTGCCAGTCTATTCAATTCAGTCCATGCGCGCATATAACGGTCCACATTTCAATCAATCAATTCACAATTCAACAAGCATACAAGGCCGCCATTGGGCTCACAATCACAGCCACTAACATGGGCATAAATTCAACATTTTCATGTGTATTTCAAGCCATAATAGCTACACAAACCAGCCAACCCAATTCAATTCGCACGTGCATAATTAACCCGAATTTCTGCATTTTAGGCGAAATTCCGCCATTCACAGGTGTCGTACTCCTACCGACAACCCCTAAACCAACACGCACTATATTTTAATCACCAAAATGCACTAATTCGGCCACATCATGAACAGTAACTCGGCCACCATGGAAAATCACTATAACGGCGCATTTAGGCCCGTTTTTCGCGCAATAAGCCACAATAATCACTTGCAATCATTCCGATTACCTAACCAATCAATTCTAACCTCAAATCCACCTCAAAAATCATTACAATTTCTCCTAAAACACTCAGCCAAATCAGTCCAACCGTTGTCCCACGATTAACCCCTAAAACTCACTAAAACGGCCCCGAACTAACCCGAAAATACCCGTTATCCTAAGCGAGGGTTAGGATATCACTTACTTGTGATTCATACGCGAAATTGAGGCCTCAACAGCGGCTGGACAAGGAGCGAACAGCAGCGGCAGCGGCAACAAGCGGTGAGGGTTATCGGCGACTCGCCGGCGGCGATTGGCTGCTGGTTTTCCGCGGCTGAACAGGGGCTGAGATGGGGCTGGTGGTGTTTCGGTGGGGCAAAAACAGGAGAGAGAGAGAGAGAGATGTGAGGCGGTGGTGGTGGTGATGGTGAACGGCCACGGCGGCGGCGGTGGCTCTGGCTCGACGAGGAAACGGCGGTGAGGGGGGTGGCCGGCTGGCCGAAGGAGGGGTGAGAGAGAGATTGGCGTGAGTGAGAGAGAGAATGAGGGGGAGAGAGAGAAAATGAGAGATATATACTAAAGAGGCAATAATTGGTGTTTAATCTCCAAGCAAAATGACCATCATACCCCTCTCTCTATATTCCAAATCAACGGCCACGATTCGATCTTATCCTAAGATCGACGGTCCAGATTAATCCTCGCCAAAAATATCCAGGGGCAAAATTGGAATTTCACAAAATTTTCAAGGGCAAAATTGTCCAAATTTTTTTATTTCTAAAGTAGGTGTGAAATGACCAAAATGCCCCTCTCCCATTATACTTGGCCTTAATAAAATCCCAGGGGTAAAACGGTCATTTTCCATTTCTCGCCGAAATTCTTTTTTTATGAAGAATCCGGACAAATCTGAGGCTAACCGAGCTAATGACAACATCGTCCGATTATCCTGTCATGACTTTCACAATTTCCGATGCCCAAACTTGGTTTCTAATTAATGATCAAATTTAATTTACGTAACTTGAGCGTATCTCGAATAACGGGTGGCTTTTGGGGAAATTCGCACATTTGACCCGTGGCCGATACTGAATCATGCCACGTTTAAGTTTACTCAGGTCGTGACGACCTCGGTTGTCACTTAATTGTGAGGATCGATCGCTAGTTCCGACGGCACGATCGATTGGTATAGGTTTGGGGTCATTCGTCAATTCATCTCGTGGTTAAGCGAAATCACTCGCGATCCACTGATATGACAGCGGCGAATTGATCCCTAACTATCCTTGGATCGGCCTACATTGGCTCAAAATATCACCTCGATAATTTTTATGGTCGAAAGTCGATTCACGATCGAGTTTATTTGGTCGCGCGAATTTAAATCCCTAATTAGCCATTCCCTATCGGTTAGTTTCCTAGGAGTGATCAGTTTCGGGCAAGATCTAACTACAAGCACGTCCATAAAATCATCCATTTCATTAATGCCAAGTGGGGCAGATTTCAGAATGTCACAAAGAAGGACCACTAGAAATTCGATAAAATTTTGTACGTCAAGGGCTTGTGTACACGGGATGCTTCTTTCTTTCATACACGTACCCACCAGCTTTGCCTATTCATAGACTCAATCCACCAACTTATACATACAGTTTATCTCTGCATTAGCCAAAGACTTTCTTCTTGTTTTAACCTGGCCACAAACTTCAACTACAACCTATTAAACTAGAGACTTGTAGACATTAATCCTAGAGAGTCTATGCTTTTCTAGACATCAACATAGCCAACTTGATTAAGATCATAGAGTGTAGTATTCTACCAACAAATATCCATAATCTCTTAAATCTGATTTTTTGTTAGACAAATGTGGCTTGCGTTTTGCTAGTTGCAAATTGGTACGTGCTTGGAAGAACCCGAGTTAGGCGTAAGTTTAGTAATTCATTAGCCAAACCCTAGGTGGTCACTCCGTTCGGGAGGTCGCGATAAAGTACGAGCTATTAAACTAGAGACTTGTAGACATTAATCCTAGAGGAGTCTATGCTTATCTAGAAAAAATTGATCCTAACAATAGCATGCCCTACTTGATTAAGATCATAGAGTGTAGTACTCTACCAACAAAAATCCTTGCGCACCCACTTTATTCCTAGATAATCTCTTAAATCTGATTTTTTTGGTTCGACGAAACGGGGCTTGCGTTTTTCTAGTCAGGCATTTATAGATTCATCTAGTTTTGTTTGGACTAAGGCATGAGAAACTTGGGCGGATATTTGCTAATTTGACTCATAACCTTAAATGGCCCATGTGAGGCATGGACAGTGCCAACACGACTCGTAACCTCATCTGTCCCATACGAAGCAAGCGCATTGCTATCTTATGTTGTGTCCTGTTCTCATGTGATTCGTGATTACTATGTGTGGTCGGAGATGAGACTGACCGAGTACAAGGTTGACATGTGGGGCTTCTTGTGCTCAACAACACTCCCAACTCGAACTCGCCTGTATAAATTGAAGCATTGTGCTCAACAACACTCACACTCATTCCATCACTAAACTCGTACAAATTCGTTATCTCACCAATCTTCTCAACTTCCACTCATTTGTCATGGAGTACAAAACAGAACAAGTCCAGTTCCAGCCTAGCCAAGCGGATTCGCCGCAAGTGGGAGACAAGTTGCATCAAAGAAGATCGGCCAATTATAGGCCTAACCTTTGGAAATACGATTTCCTCCAGTCGCTTAACAACAACAACGACCTCGTAAGATTCTAATTTGTACCTCCCGTGCTCATAAGTTCCATCAAATTTGATCGTTAATTATCGAACCGGTTGGTTTTTTGGTTGTACTCCTTTATTCAAGTATTGCACATGAGACACACGTTGATTTTATTTATTTTTTAATTCGAGCAAGGTAGTATTTTGCTAAATTGATTTGTAACATCACATGCATGATCTTAATATGTGTGGTTATCCTATATATCAGCCATCATCTAGACTTGATTTATAGCTAACAAGAATGTAAAAAACCAATTCATCTAGCTATATACATTTGCATGTACTAAATTTTTTCTGAAAAATTAGCTTGCTCACGGTTGAGTCCTCTAGGGATTGAAATGAAACCAACCATTTCAGACTCACTATACAACAAAGTCAATCGCGATAATAAAAAAATCAATCATGTTATTAGAAACATAACGAGTCCACATTATTTTGGTTGTTACTTCTTAAAATATGATTAAACCGGTCAATTAGAATGAGTCTAGATAAAACCTTATTAGAAGCAATCAAGACTTTGCAATATATTTTACCATAAATTCATAAAGGATAAAGTAGTATAATCACAACATCTTGGCATTGCTCTATAGGTTGAATTAATTGAGGCCTTTTCGAGGTAGATTTCGATCTTACGAATTCGACTCGATTCTGTAGAAAGAAGGAACTAAAGAACGGGTAGAACGGCTCGTGGAGGAAGTAAAGCCAATGTTATCAGAAGCAGTCGATTCACTCCTCAAGTTAGAGTTGATTGACAGCATGAGAAAATTGGGGCTGTCCAACCTTTTTGTCACTGAAATAAAAGAAGCTCTTGAAACTGATGCATCCACCAACGGTGGCGTTTTCAACGTGGAAGATCGGCTCTATGCCAGTGCACTTCGGTTTAGACTCCTCAGACAGCATGGCCATGTCGTTTCACAAGGTAATTCGTAAATATGGATGTGTGTGATTTCCTTCGTCTGAGATGTTACTAACAAATGACAGCACAAGCCAAATAAATCAACGAATAATGCTATAGGTACTGAAGATTACTCCACAAAAGTTGGTTCCTTCCGTAGCAGTCATACCTATTGGGACTTAGCTCTACTGAAAAAACTTCTTGTTTCTAGAGAGAGGATCACTAAAGTAAAGCGTAATTGTGGACTAGACGGTGAAGAAGGTTTTGTCCACAGAGAGGTTTTATCGAATTGAATGCATACAATCCGCTCAAAGTTCATATGCCATTATTCACTGTTTTCCAATAACATCTTCTTAGTCATCAGTCGTCGTACTTTCTAATATTTATTAACATCGAGTATAATTAGTACTATCAGCAATTATTCTTGGTTCTGTCCGGCTGTAAATCTTCGACTTTCATTTTGTAATCAGATGAATTAAGGATGTTCAAGGAAGGAAGGAACACATTGAACGGAAGCAACTGCGAAGATGTTGAAGATATGATAGAGCTTCTTGAGGCTTCACATCTGGCTTTGGAAGGCGAAAACATTTTGGATGAAGCGAAAGCCTTCTCAACTGGGATTGTCCGAGAGAGAGTCTCCGGTTTGGATGGTCAGCTCTTGAAACGTGCCGTCCATGCTTTGGAGCTTCCGATGCACTGGAGGGTCCAGTGGTTCGACATCAAATGGCAAATTGGCTTGTATGAGCAACAGGAGGACAAGCAAAGTAATCTGCTTGAACTTGCAAAACTCAATTTCAACACGGTCCAAGCCACACAC